AATCCTAGAAAAAAAAAATCCTGGACAAAGGACTTCATAGAACACAATTTGGCTTCTCTACTGGAAAAGGAACCACCGATGCCATCTTTGTAATAAGACAACTACAAGAAAAAAACACTGTAGATAAGGAAAAAAAAATATTTGTGGTATTTTTAGACCTAGAGAAAGCTTTCGACCGTGTGCCAATGGAAGTCATGTATTAGTGTCTACGGGAAAAGGGAACACCGGAGATGCTAGTAAGGCTAGTAGAAGCAGCATACAGAATGCTGCTACCAAGACACCGAGGCACTGATGAACTTGAAATTACAGTTAGAATCCATCAAGGTTCGGCACTAAGCCCATTCTTATTCATTTGCATCATGGATATCTTGCTAGAAGATGTGAGAACCGACATACCCTGGGAACTATTATTCGCGGATGACGTTGCATCAATCTCTAATGCAGGAGAACTACAGCAAAAAATACAAAATTGGCAGAGTAAATTACAAGATGGAGGACTGGAGTTAAACGCTGACAAATCAGAGGTCATAGTGATGGAAAGAGAGGGAAACAAGGCAGGATGGAATGAATGGAGGGAAGTCACTGGTGTCATCTGTGACAAGAAAATTCCAAGGAAACTAAAATGCAAAATTTATAAAACTATAATTAGACCAGTGCTTATTTACGGAGCAGAGTGTTGGACTGTCACCAAAAAGAGGAAGCTCTACTAAGACGAACTGAAATGAGAATGCTGAGACATCCTCCAGTCCAAGAGGCTAGACTAAGGTGGTTCGGTCATGTGTTGAGGAGAGAGGATGAAGAACCCTGCAGGATGGCTTGGAACCTTAGTGTGGAAGGTGACGGAGATAGAGGGAGGCCGCGTCAGATATGGAGTGATAACAGCAAGAAGGACCTCGAGGAAAAAGGATTAGCCGAAGGAGATGTGGTGGACTGGGTTAGGTGGAGTGCAACCAAAGCAGCTGACCCCAGAACAGTCTGGGACTAAAGCTATATAAAAGTAGATATATTTGTAAACATACATTACATTATATATATATATATATACATATATATATATATATATATATATATATATATATATATATATATATATGTATATATATATACACATACATATATGCACATACACAGACACACACACACACACACACACACACACACACACACACACACACACACACACACACACACACACACACACACATATATATATATATATATATAGAGAGAGAGAGAGAGATGGATTAAAAACTTAACGAATATGCAGTGTCTACCAACAGGAATATCCGCGTTTTTTTAAATAGTTGCTCAAATATAAGTAACGTTCATAAAATGATAAGCTGGTCTCCTTTGCCCAAGGTAAACCGAGAGAGAGCTTAAGTAAATATTAAAATCTTACGGCAGATCGTACCTCAATTTACTCGGCATTCATAAGATCGAAAATATGCACTACAGAGGCGCATAATTTTGAAATTTCCAAAAGAAAAAAAAGAAAGGGAAAAAGACGAAGAAAAAAACATCAATCATTCCAAACAGCAAGAACCAATTAGTGTGCGTATCAGTTTGTTTGTTCATTGTTTTTTATCGCCTTGATTGAACACTAAACACACACACTACGTGCACATCTCCACGGATTTGCATATAATGGATAAGTCAAACCTAGGTACGGTAGTGGGTGAGTCTATCGCAGATTGAGAACCACCAACAGTGATCACCTAAACGACTACTCCCCTGGATCACGGGTCAGCCATCATGTATAATGACCTAAAGAACCAAGTAGTTCGCCAAACACAAGACACATATACACACATGCATATATATATATATATATATATATATATATATATATATATATATATATATATATGTATATATATATACATATACATACATATATATATATATATGTGTGTGTGTGTGTGTGTGTGTGTGTGTGTGTGTGTGTGTGTGTGTGTGTGTGTGTGTGTGTGTGTGTGTGTGTGTGTGTGTGTGTACATATATATTGGATAAATAGATACATAGATATATAGATATGTAGACAAACAGACAAACAGATAGATAGATAAGGCAGGCAGATAGATAAACAAATAGATATACTAATGGACATACAAATTTAGATAGTTGAACTGATTGATAGATGTACATACTGATAGAGAGACAGAAAGATAGATAGACTGATCTAAAGTGTGCGCTTGCTTATATGGTTATATGAGTATTTACATGTATGTGCACAAGCATTGCAGAATGTATGTACATCTGTATCATACGTTCATATGCATATCTGACTCCATGTACACTAAAACAACCCTGTTAACGAGTGTAGTTGACTCATTAATCCTACAAACGGTTTATTGTCCGTTTAAAATGAAACAAGTCTCGAGGGGAAAATATCGGCAAACAGACGCAAGGAAACGAGCATGTAATAGCGAAGAGACATTAACAGTGACAGAAAGTATGTTTGTTGCCGGGAAAGCGTCTTGATAATGTGGCAAGGGGGAGGGGAAAAGATTAAAGAATTAGCAGTGAGAGAGGGAAAGAAAGGGAGAGAGAGAGAAAGAAAGGGAGAGAGAGAGAAAGAGGGAGAGAAAGAAAGAAAGAGGAAGAGAAAGGAAGAAAGAAAAAGAGAAAGGAAGAAAGAGAAAGAGAAAGAAAGAGGAAGAGAGAGAGAGAGAAAGAAAGAAAGAAAGAAAGAAAGAAAGAAAGAAAGAAAGAAAGAAAGAAAGAAAGAAAGAAAGAAAGAAAGAAAGAAAGAAAGAGAGAGGGAGAGGCAGAAGTGAGGTGGGGAAAAGAAAGGGAGAGAAACCGATGGGAAAAAAGGAGAGGAGAAGAGAGATGAAAGGAGAGAGAAGAGAGGGGAAGAGAGAGAACGAGAGAGAAGAGAGGGGAAGACAGAGATAACGAGAGAGAAGGAGAAAAACGAAAGGGAGGAGAAAGAAAGAGAGAGAAAGAGATAGATAGATAGAGAAAGAGAAAGAAAGAGAGAAAGAGAAGAAAGGAATATGAAGCAAGAAGAATAAAGAAGACATAATAAACAAACACAAACCTGACTACGTAAAGCAAAGTAAAGCAACAAAAAAAAGAAAAAGAAAAAATCCTCCATTATTTCCTCATTATTACTGTTTCCCTCTCAAGATATTGTGCACTACCTGAAGAAAAATACGATAGCCATGACTTTATCCCAACAAATGATATTTTAGCCCAGTGATTCTAAAAGACTCTGTGTAATGTTCTTGTATGTGTTTTTCCTGTGTTCTTTTTTTGTCTTTCCTGTGAGTTTCGGTAAGGAGAAGGGGAGGAGGAAGAGGAGGAGGAGAAGACAAAGAAAGAGACAAGACAAGGAGACAAGAAGAGAGAAAGCTGTTAGGGTGTTTATGTGTGTATGTTTCTCTCTCTCTCTCCCTCTCCCTCTCCCTTTCCTTTTTTCCTCCCCTCTTTTCCTCCTCCTCTTTCCCCCTCTCTCTTTCCATCTTTCCAAGACGCAGAGACCTGTGTGTGTGAACTTGTGTGTGTCCGTGTACATGTGTGTACGTGTACATTTGTGTTCATGTACGTGTACGTGTGCGTGTACGTGTACATGTGTGTACGTGTACATTTGTGTTCATGTACGTGTACGTGTGCGTGTACGTGTACATGTGTGTACGTGTACATTTGTGTTCATGTACGTGTACGTGTGCGTGTACGTGTACATGTGTGTACGTGTACATTTGTGTTCATGTACGTGTACGTGTGCGTGTACGTGTACATGTGTGTACGTGTACATTTGTGTTCATGTACGTGTACGTGTGCGTGTACGTGTACATGTGTGTACGTGTACATTTGTGTTCATGTACGTGTACGTGTGCGTGTACGTGTACATGTGTGTACGTGTACATTTGTGTTCATGTACGTGTACGTGTGCGTGTACGTGTACATGTGTGTGTGTGTGTGTGTTGTGTGTGTGTGGTGTTGTGTGTGTGTGTGTGGTGTGTGTGTGGTGTTGTGTGTGTGTGTGGAAGATTGGTGGGGATATATGTGTGTGTGTATGTGTGTATGTTTCTCTCTCTCCCTCTCTCTCCCTCTCTCTCCCTCTCTCTCCCTCTCTCTCCCTCTCTCTCCCTCTCTCTCCCTCTCTCTCCCTCTCTCTCCTCTCTCTCCCTCTCTCTCCCTCTCTTCTCTCTGTCTTCCTCTCCCTTTTCCTTTCCCTATCCTCTCCATTTCCTTCTTCCTCTTTCTCTCCCTCTCCCTCTTCCTCTTTTTCTCCCTTTTCCTCTCCCTCTACTCCTCCTTCTCCCTCTCCCTCTCCCTTTTCCTTTTTTCCTCCCCTCTTTTCCTCCTCCTCTTTCCCCCTCTCTCTTTCCATCTTTCCAAGACGCAGAGACCTGTGTGTGTGAACTTGTGTGTGTCCGTGTACATGTGTGTACGTGTACATTTGTGTTCATGTACGTGTACGTGTGCGTGTACGTGTACATGTGTGTGTGTGTGTGTGTGTGTGTGTGTGTGTGTGTGTGTGTGTGTGTGTGTGTGTGTGTGTGTGTGTGTGTGTGTGTGTGTGTGTGTGTACGTGCGTATGGCGTGGCGTCTGGCCGGCGGTATCAACTAGAATCAGCTGACTGTAATATGATAACCATTGGGTGTGGTTGAGAAACGAACAGGTTTAGAGCTCCTCACCTGTATGCATCCTCCGCCCCGTCGAGGATTTTTTTTTTACTTTTTTTTACTTTTTTTTTCTTTTGTCTACGTATGTGTGTGTGTGTGAGGATGAGGAGGGAGGGAGGGATGAGGGAGGGAGGGAGGGAGGGAGGGAGGGAGGGAGGGAGGGAGGGAGGGATGAGGGAGGGAGGGAGGGAGGGAGGGGGATGAGGAGGGAGGGAGGGAGGGAGGGAGGGAGGGAGGGAGGGAGGGAGGAAGGAGGGGAGTTGTAAAATGTTTTTTGTGTGTACGTTTGTGTGTGTGTGTGTGGAAGATTGGTGGGGATATATGTGTGTGTGTATGTGTGTATGTGTGTGTATGTGTGTATGTGT